GCTGTTTTCATCGGAAACATTGCATTTCATTTCGTTGAGTATAAAGTCAAGAGTGGACTCATTGGCCGACGAGTTCCGCGACTGCATTATTGTCGACAAACGGCTCGACTTACGGACACTTCCCGACGACGACCGGTTCAGACCAGACAGTCGGCCAACGCTGGCCGCCGCCGACAATCCAGAGCTGGAGCGCGAGGGCACGAAACGGGGCGTCGAGACGCGGCCGACACCACTGGCCTTAGGCTTCGGTATTTTGGATCCAAAACGCGGCGTCGACTGAAGTCTTGAGGGCTTGTGTGCGGCCGATGTGTTGAGATCTATCAAAGACATAGTGCTGTCTTTGGTGTCCACTTTGGGCGCCGTTATCTTCGATGGGAATCGTGGCGTCGACTTGAGTGCGCTTTTGACCGGTTTTGGTGTCGATTTGGCGACAGTTGTGTTGAGGTCTACCAAAGACATAGTGATGGGAACGTCCTCTTCGGGTCGCACTGGAGTCGCGGGTGTCGTCTCTTTGAAGTGGACTCGAGGTGTGGGCCGAAGTCTGGCCGACGGTTTGCCACTGGCTTTTATGGTCGTTGTGTTGAGGTCTATGAGAGACATAGTGATGGGTACGTCCACCGCGTCGGCGGCCATCGGTGTCGCGGCTCTGCGTTTACGGCCCGACAACTTCACGTTCAGCTCAAACGGCGACAACAGGTCTGCGGCGTTCACTTCGACCACTTCTACCGGCGTTTGCGGCGACACTATGTCCTGTGTTTGTATGCCTTCGAGGGTCGCATCCAATGATTTAACCGGTGTTTCAGTCATTGTTTTGGTCGATAGTCGTGAGCCAATCGACGAGATCATCGAGTAATCGCTTTTCCAGAAATCAATGGTTGACACGTTATCGACGGTCACATCCACTTCCATCGGTTCCTCGACATCAGTTGCGGTGATATTCGCAAAATGGCGTTCTTCGCCCGCTTTGGCGAGTGTTTTGGTCATCATTTCAGTCGTCGATGAGCCAAATGCCGAGAGAATCAAAGACTCATTAATTTTATAGGTGTCAACGGGTGATAAGCCGTCGACGGACTCCTCATGAGTGGACACATTCGGCGATTCCGACTCTTCAGTTATGATATCCAACACTTTGTGCGACAATTCAGCCGTCGATTCGTGCAAATGCTGAGAGCCTATCGACGAAACGCTGACCGAGTGATTGATTTGAGACAATTCAACGGCTAAAATGTCTTCATCGACCTCTTCATTGGTGGCCACAACTGGTGTCTCTACCTCTGCGTTGACAACGCTATTATCAACAGGTCTTAGCGGCGTTTTGGCCACCGATGAAACACTACGCCAATTATTCATTTGAGACAAATTGAAGGCAGAGATATCGCCATCGATGGCACTCTTGTTGTGATCGACGGCTTCAGCGGCGGTCAAAACCGGCGCCTCTTCGGCCACAACGCTATTGTTGGCTAGTGTTTCGGGCAGTGGTTGAGAGCCCATCGATGAAACGCAAACCGAGTAATTGATTTGCGACAAATCAACTGCCGATATATCTTCGTCGACATCTGCATCGGTGGACACAACTGGTGTCTCAATCTCTTCGGTAACAACGCTTTTATCAACGGGTTTTAGCGGCGTTTTGGCCACCGATGAAACATTGCGCCAATTATTCATTTGAGACAAATTGAATGCCGAGATATCGCCATCGATGGCACTCTTGTTGTGATCGACGGCGTCAGCGGCGGTCAAAACTGGCGCCTCTTCGACCACAACGCTATTGTTGGCCACTGTTTCGGGCAGTGATTGAGAGCCCATCGATGACACACAGACCGAGTAAATGATTTGAGACATATCAACGGCTGAAATATCCTCATCAACCTCTTCATTGGTGGCCACAACTGGTGTCTCTCCGTTGACAACGCTTTTATCAATCAGTTTTAGCGGGGTTTTGGCCACCGATGAAACATTTCGCCAGTTATTCATTTGCGACAAATCAACGGCAGATATATCGTCATCGATGGCAGTCTTGTTGTGATTCATTGTTTCATTGGTCTCCAAAACTATTGACTCGTCGGCAGCGTTATTGTTGGCCAGTGTTTCGGACAGTGGTTGAGAGCCATCCGATGAGACACAGATCGAGTAATTGATTTGAGACATATCAACGGCAGACATATCGCCATCGATGGCATACTTGTGCTCATTAGTGGCTTCAGTAGTGGTTAAAAGCGGTGATTCTGTGCCCACAGTATCGGTAGTATTGTCGGCCACTTTACACGGCGTTTCAGTCATAGCCACGGCAGCGGATGGCGAGCCGAGAGTTGAGACAATCATCGAGTACTCGGACCTCTTGACGTCCTGTCCATCGGTAAACACGTGCTCTTCTATCGTCTCATTGATGGTGACATTTGGCGTTTGTATGCCTTCAGCGGTCACTTCACTCGCTTTGACCGGTGTTTCGGCAATATTTTGAACCGATAGTCGAGAGCCGACCGATGAGATCATCGAGTAATCATTGTTCCAGAAATTAATGGCAGATGTGTTACCTTCGGTCACATTAACGCTTTCATCGATCCCCTCATTTGCGGTAATGCTCTCCGATTGGGTGTCTTCGGCCACTTTGACCGGAGTTTGAGACACCATTTGAGCCGAAGATGAGCCCAGAGTTGTGACAATTAAAGAAAAATCAGTTTTAGACATATCCACAGCTGTGGAGGTATCGACAGTGATATCAATTGCGGTCACATTCGCCGATTGGGATCCGATCTTAGCCTCGACTTCTTTTATGTCTTCAGTTTGAGATTCAATGACTTCGATGGAAGAATCAAACTCTTCATCGGAAGAGTCAATGTCTACAACTGACGGCTCAATGTCTTCGACGCTAACGTCAATCGCTTTCAGCGGTGTTTCGGCCGTAGTTTTGATCGATAGTCGCGAACCAAACGACGAGTTTTTTGTGTAATTAGTTTTCGAGAAATCAATGGTCGATATGTTATCTATTGTCAAATCCATGCGTTCATCGCCGGTATGATCGGCCGATTCGAGGTCTTCTTCAGCCAATTCGAGGTCTTCTTCGGCCGCTTTTCCGGGCGTTTGGGACAACATATCAGTCGCCGATTGGGAGCCGAGAGCGGAGACAACCAACGAGTACTCAGTTTTAGACATATCGACCGCCGATATGTCACCGACGGTCACATCGTTCGCGGCGACACTCGTGGACAGGGATTCAATGCGCGACTCGTTGTCTTCAACCGACGAAACAATGTCTTCAGCGATAGACTCGTTGTCTCGAGCCGTGGACTCGTTGTCTTCGACGTGAGGCTCGCAATCGACGCCATGAACTTCGGCGGCTTTTCCGGGCGTTTGAGACAACATATCGGTCGGCGATTGGGAGCCGAGAGTGGAGACAACCAACGAGTACTCAGTTTTAGACATATCCACAGCCAATATGTCACCGACGGTCACATCGTTCGCGGCGACACTCGTGGACAGGGATTCAATGCGCAACTCGTTGTCTACAACTGACGGCTCAATGTCTTCGACGCTAACGTCAATCGCTTTCAGCGGTGTTTCGGCCGTAGTTTTGATCGATAGTCGCGAACCAAACGACGAGTTCATTGAGTAATTAGTTTTCGAGAAATCAATGGTCGATATGTTATCTATTGTCAAATCCATGCGTTCATCGCCGGTATGATCGGCCGATTCGTGGTCTTCCGCTTTTTGAGACAACATATCAGTCGGCGATTGAGAGCCCAGAGTGGAGACAACCAACGAGTACTCAGTTTTAGACATATCGACCGCCGATATGTCACCGACAGTCACATCGTTTGGGGCGACACTCGTGGACAGGGATTCATTGTCTTCAACGCGCGACTCGTTGTCTTCAACAGACGAAACAATGTCTTCAGCGATAGACTCGCTGTCACGAGCCGTGGACTCACTGTCTTCAGCGGCGATGGCGGCGGCCTTCGCGGCCAACCGTTGGCGCCATTGCTCGCGAAACTGGCGCTCAGCGTCTGTGACGACACCCCAGAAGACGCCTTCCTCTGCACCGCAATAATTGTCCTCAAAATCACTAATTGTTTGACAAAAAAAAGTAAAAACAAAACCAAAATTAAAACCCAAAACTCATAACAGCTATCAATCGGTGGACACAAACACCCGACAGACATACCATTCTTCCGGATCCGACCATTCGTCGTACGAGTCGTCCATTGTCTTCTTCGGCGGTAATTACCTCACGTTATAATTGATTAAAAGCTTAATTAAAACTGAATTAAAAGTTGTATTAAAAACACTGTAAACTCAAAACACATTCAATACAATTGAGTGACAGTTAAACACATATGAAATGCAACCGTTGTTTTGAATGTCACAAACACTGGCCTCTCATTGGCTGCCAGTCTATTGTTTGCTGCGATACTATTTGCGCGCAACTCTATGTTAACACACTAATGATTATACGTAACCTTTTATATGTATAGCAGGCATAACGAGTGCACGCAATGCTATGTATATAAAAGTACCAAACATTCACTCATTGGTTATACTGTTTAGCAGATTTGGTACTATTTATGACAACAGTGTTAACACACATATCAAGCCTACAATACTTGCCATAAAAAGGCCCAAAACCTATACCTCAGCCATAAAAGTACAGCCAATGATTGATATGTTTACAAAAATTATTACTTTTGAATCAATTTGTAATCAAAACAAAGTTTTAATTAAATTAATTACAATTTATTCATTAAAAACGCCGACCGCTGAATGAGGCGACGCCTGAAGACATGCTGAGGACCTGTTTAGTGGGCGCGTTGGGTGTGGCCAGTGGTGTGGCCGTCGAGAAGTACCGGCGAGAGTACAGCCAATCATCGCTTCCAACAGTATTTGCCGCCAAAACTATAGACCCGACGGCTGCGGGACCGCCGGCAGTGGTGGACAACATCCCCGGCAAAGCCGTCGCCACCACCGGAGACATCACCCAATGGTTACCGCCGAAGAGCGGTGGCGGCCGCATAGAGCAAATAGCTCGGCACGGCTTCCCATCGTTGGACACAATCCGCTCGTTTGACAACTTTGTCCTGTCGTACGATCGCCGCAATCGTACCGCAATTGGGTGTTAGAGCACATGTCGCGGGACGAGTTGGACGGCGATCACAAGTACGACCGGTCGGGCATCGAGTTCTTCGAGGACCAGTCCGTACACGAGTACTGGCGCTCAGCGAACGCCGACTATCACCGCAGCGGTTACGATAGGGGACACTTGGCCGCGGCGGGCAATCACCGGCGCGACCACAAACTGGTCGCCCAGACGTTCGTGTTGTCCAACATCTCGCCACAGGTGGGCAAAGGGTTCAATCGGGACGCGTGGAACCGATTGGAAAAGTACTGCCGGTGGCGCGCGCGCCGCTCCGACGGCTTGTGGGTGTGCACCGGCCCGCTGTATCTGCCGGCCCGCGACCGCTCTGATGGTAAACTGTACGTGAAGTATGAGGTGATTGGCCGCAACCACGTGTCAGTGCCCACACACTTCTTCAAAGTACTCGTTTGGCAGACCGACGGCCGCCACTGGGATATGGAGGCCTATGTGATGCCCAACGCGCCCATCGATGACGATAAGGCCATCGAGTCCTTTCGGGTGCCGATCGATACGGTTGAACGCGCGGCCGGTCTCTTGTTTTTTCAACGCCTCCCAAGACATCAGTTCCGGTCGATTAATGGCAAAAGTGTATGAGTTTTTTGAGTCGTCTGTATTGGAGTTCGTTTATAATTAAGTCAATAGTCATTGCATTTGTTGTTAGATTTGAATTGTATTTTATTTTTGAATGAATTGTACATTAAGTCCGTCTTTTGCCATATAGTGTACACTTTTATCTGAAATCAAATGCTTTTTATTGTATTTTATTGTGATTTTGTATTAGATTTTAGTGTACTCTCGATATAATGAACAACATATTACTGATTGATTTGAGTGCTTATGAGCCAAAAAATATTTACATTAATTAATCAAATAATTTGTTCAATAAATAGATAAATCATTTTTATTAATAAATACATCAAATTGTTTGATAAAATTAATGAATACATAATTATTTGTTTTAAAAAACATTTAAAATTAATTTTACATGAATTACAGTATAATTGGTATACGATATGAATGTTAAGCACAGGTAGTGTTAGAAATATATCTCAAAACCAGTCATTAATCTATAATTAAATTAATAATTAATGAAAATTGATTGACAGTTAAGTATAGGTTTTTTGGAAATGTTTTTACGAAACACAACTTAACGCCTATTATATGTAGTTTTCATTAAAAATAAATATTTATATATTTTTTATATCTTTAAATGTTAATCCATTTTTAAATCCCATTTAAAATCTATATTATATATAAATTAATTAATCGTTTAAAATATTGATCAAAACATTAATATTTTGTTTACTCACGAATTTCAAGGAAAACTTCAAAATAAAATCTTATTTTGTGTGAAATTTACTGAAATTGAGACAAAAATACAATAACTTTTCCATAAAGTAGTGTCAATGATATCAATGATGGCTATTATTGACCACGTGTTTGATGGTCAGGGATGTCAAGCGTTTATACCATTTGAGAGATAATTGATTGGCCAAAAATTTGATTGTTATAAAAATGCTTTAATTATGATCTAAATCGTGAGTATAATAATGAGATTGTTGTAAATTTTGGACAATAAATGAGTGGATTTTCTCATGATATGATAGCCCCTCAAACACGTGACATCTCTGACTATCGAGTATTTACTTTAAAACTTTATTTCAAACAAAAAGTAATTGAATTTTTGTCACAGATATCTCTTCTATCCATATGTGTGGGAAAGGTATGTAATGTATGGCAAGTAAAGGGTTTGATAATCTGTATTATAAAGTCTATCATATGCTATGTGGTAATGTAGGTGTCGGTGCTCTCCCTGTGCGCCCCTCCCCTATAATAATGACTATATATTAGTGCTAAACGAGACACAGAATATTCTGTGCGCTTTTTGGCCGCGAAATTCTTTAGCCAATTCTCGCTTTGAAGAGTACGTTAGAGTTTGGCAAATGATGCAAAGGCTTGGCGTACGTCACGTCGACCGCACCCACACAGGACTGGGGGTCCGAGAAATAGTAGCACAGCTTTCGGGGCGCCTGTCGGTGCCGTTTGATCACTTGACAGCACAGGCCTCGGCTCGAGTCGCACTCGGAACTCGTCTGACATTCATTATCTGTTATATGAAATGCACACAAAAATCAAACAATTAATACGAGAAACTAATACTAATTATTGGTTACTAGTTATTGCAAATGTAATGGACATAACTGTACTGTTTTTTCATCATTTCTCTGCCGAGAGTGGGCTGACACGAGCGCCGGCCCTTCACCTGATACAGCGCCGACGGATTGATGACATAGTGGTCGTCGTACTGACAGCTCAGCCCAGTCTCGCACTCGTCGTTTGATTGACAGGACTCGCCTTCGCTCACACCATATATGGGTAGACACGTGCCGGCAACTGATACAACCACACAAATCAATCATCATATTAATTATGTTACATTTTGGTATAATGTGTAAAATATTTTGTTTAGTTTAAGTTGAAGTCATTAAATTAGCCCCATGAATTTTGTATTATATGCACTTATATAAGTTAGAGCAGCATAATGTACAGTAATAAAAGTATTGGTATAGAATCTACCAGTGCTAAATCATAGATTATGATAAGTTATCATTAAAGCTGTTCAGAATATGTATTTATTTATGGTCAAATATGTTATATAATATTTATTTAAAATGTCCAAATATTTACTTATATATTTACTAAAAAAGGTTCAAATATTTACTTAAATATTTATTTAAAAATCTCAATATTCTATATAAATTCTAATTAATATATTCTATGGACAAAATAACGAAATATTATGTTAGAAATGTTTGGTAGCCTTTTAAATCCTATTTAAATAGTGTTAATTAAAGTCATAATATATATTTAAATCATATCAATTGTTTCCAAGTCAAACCAATGATATTATATCCCATCATAATGTATTACATAATGTCATACAATTATTTATTATTGTTTTGATTAATTATTAACAAACTTTTAGAAATTATTTTACCATTTAATACATATTTAGACATTTAAAGTAATGAATTTCAAGTAAATTAATGATTTTTATGCTTTATAACCAAATATTTATTTATATTTATTTAAAAGTCAAATATGTATTTATATGCAAAATAAAACTTTGTTAAAATGACCCTTATTATGTAATTCGTTTGCCCCCCAAAGTCCCAAACATATATCTTTAACCAATAAATATATTTAAAAACATATTCTGAACAGCTTTAGTTATCATTGATAACATTTTAATTTTTAAACAGGTTATTTTTAAACCCATTTATTTTTAAAATATACTGTAAAAATTTTATTATTATATCAGGTTAAGTGAATATCAGTATTCTAAACTTGGTTATACAGAAAATCATTTATTTCATATTAAAAAGTCAATACATTATTTATAACCATTCGCACTCAAATCTAATTTATATTTATTTCTTGTATTTCCACTCAAATATTAAATTAAAATATTTTATTTTTGAAGTCATTTTCCCCGAAACTATACTTTAAGCGCTATTTTTGTAAATTCAATATTGAAAAAAACGTGCGAGATGAAATATTTTATTTCTTCATATTCCTCAAGACATTTTTGTGCACAAGTAACTTATATTAATCTAGTTAAGTTTCTATTGAGTTTGTTGCTGTTTTGAAAACGTGATTATCATTAATACAAATTAAATTTATACCTTATTACACTTATTTGAACATGAAAACCAAATTGTTTACTATGTTAGCAATTTATAGGTTACTAGGTTATAATAATTATATGAATATAAACTTTATATATTAATAAATAATTATAATATAATTAGATTTCAATGTCTATACAACTTATATCGAATCATAAGTTACATAATTTAATCTCAACAATTATTTATTTTATTAACATTTCATTTAATAAGATTTTAATAAAAATGTTATTTTATCGATAAAAACAACACAATTAATTAAATAAACAATCAAAAATACAATCAAATATAACTCGAATTGAATTGAATTTAAATAAATGTCTTGTAAGCAGAAAAAAGAAAGTATCTGTTTGTCAATAGATATGGACAGACATGTCATGCAATTGTAATTACTGAGAGTCTGTGTTATAAAGTTAAGTGTATTGGCATTAAAACAGCGGGAAATTGTATCTATAACACAATAACACAATATTCTGGCAATTCTGGAGTCTCTCTCTCTCTCACTCACACTCACTATTTGCGTTAAATTTAGCACAATTTAGATGAAAATCAAGAAATAAACCGAAACGATAACAATTTCAATGACACCATAAATAGTGGACTAATAAAAAGCTATATATTAGACATATAGTGGTAGCGAATAATGGTTTAGAAACAAATAAATGTGTATCACTTTTATTACCAAAGCTCTCTCTCTCTCTCTCTCTCTCTCTCTCATTTTCTCAATCACTTTCCACTTCATATCTGTTTAGTATAGTTCTCACGACTTATTTTCTTTTTACATATTAAAGTAATAAAATATTAATGAATATTTAATGCTATCATAAATGTTGCTATAATGCACCATGGTATGTATCAAATATAAATTTTTAACCAATATATCGATATTATATTATTGCTATTGAAATAACAACCCATTTTAATATGTACTGTCAATTCACGTCAAAAAATAAAATTGAATTCATTTTTGAGGTTTCATTAAAATTTTGAGTTTGATTTTCTATGAATTCAATCCCTTTTTTAGGGTAAAAATAAACATATTTTTCATAATCCTATTCTCAAAACGAAAGCACACATGCCTTTACGTCATGAATATATCTGTATGTAATATATAGAGAGAGAGAGAGAGAGAGAGAGAGCGAAGTGATGGATAAACTAAAATAATATTTAAAGTCTTCATAAGATCTGTGATGAAGAGAATCGTGGGATCAATGATATTGTGAATGAATGTTGTTTTAAATCAATCATTAATGAAAAGGTCAGTTCTGTTGGCGCCCACACACTACTAGTGCTGATTATGGATGACATCCAATTTACCATAGGCGATCGCATTTCCCTTGTTTATCATTAAACATGTTATTTTGAAATATTTATAGTCATATTATCCATTACAATGTTTATCATGTACGTCTAAGTTTGAATATTCTTTAAAGTGTATATATTTAGACTGTAAATGGTGTACTTATTTGTCTATAAAATCCCATAGGGTGAATAATCAGGAAGACTTTTATTCGTAAACAACTAAACATGCTTAAAATAATCATATTAATGAATAAAACATCTCCACATTGTCTGCAAAATGAGCATATTTTACTGTAGGCTTGAGTCATAATTGTATTATATTTAATATTAATTATATTTTATTTTAGAACTAATATCCGAAATATAATACTAATTTATATATTATATAATAAAGTATTTAATTAGAATTATAATTATAATTAGAATTTTCAAAAATATAATAAATGATAGTGGGATAGTAAACAGGAAGAATAATTAATTAATTGTATAAAAATATTTTTTATTATGGTATAACTTGATTTATACTTAAATCTGATTTATATTTGACTTTCGTCCTGATAATTATATTACGACAGAAATATAACTAAAACATGGTTAATATGAGTGAGAGATTTGTAAATTTCATTATATTTATTAAGTTTATAATAATTATTAACAAAAATCAACGTCAAATCATTTGCAATAATACTTTGCCTAATGTTTAGATAGTGGCCTCTCTATGGCAATCGTAAACAACATAATTAAATAGATATTTGTTATTATAACACAGAATATTCTGGATTTAATATAAATAGTGATAAAGACATGGTATTAGTATAAATAAGTTCCTATCTATTAGTTTCCCACATTTAATGAGTGCCCAAAATACATAAATAAAGTTGTGTTTGAAATAATTAGATAAAAAATACATATTATATACAGAAATACAATATACAGTATCTGTAAATTATAAGTATGTTTATAAGTTTGGGTCCAATTTAGGCAATTATCAATGAAAATAATTATAGTAAATTAATTATTAACATAATTACTCTCGGTTATACAAATGTATATAAAATAAATATAGTAAACTTGTGCGTTATATACAGTAATTGTACATTATTTTTCTTGGAAAACGTGGTAAATGTGTATCAAATGGATAAATACAAAGTGAATTAAACGCACAAACACTAAGGGATGCGGGGATTAAAAATTTCTAGAGACCAGCACTTGGAAAATGTTAATACAAGCGGTTGTCGTGACTTGAATTGATATACCGATGAATTTGTTCGAAAATATACGGCAAATGTAATATAAAATGTTTGGCTTACGTATTGGTTATCGTCTGTTGTGTTTTTTTGTGGCCCACAAAATACAGTGACGTTAAATCCCAACTGAGAGGCAAATTGTTTCACAACCTCATTGAGAGAGAGAGAGAGAGAGAGAGAGAGAGAGAG